GTCTGTGTCCTCGCCGAACGGCGTGATACAGCGCTGCTAGCACACGACGAAAAAGGATTCACCGTGAGTTCCAGTTTTGGCCAATCGTCGGTCGGAGTGCGCCGCATGTTTTGTACTCGTTGAAAAAGCTGATATCAATCTAACCACTTCCAGCCAACGGTTGCGGGGCATATTTCTGAGTGGTTGTCATTGATGAAAGTACATGTTTGCACTGTCCGAAAGCAAACAAACAGACGATAATTTTTGACTGTAATCATGATTCCCACTCCCACATATGATCTACAACACATGTTACCAAGTAAGCTACGGAGTAAGACTGGGCTGTATGAAAAAATTGGATCTCCTTCGTAAGAAAGTTCCGTGTCATAAATTAACTCAGCTGACATACGATTCACTCTTTTCCTTCATCGCTTCGCGATGTCCTATGTATGCTCTCAGGATGAATTCATGCACAGTGCCTTTACTCTTGTTAGAGTTTGACACTTTCTTGGCCTTGTTCCTGTTGGAACTTACTGGTCTTCGTCTGGCCTATAGTGAGCGACCATCCAGTTGGGATGTGGCTCATTTGGATCCGAATCGGCACAGTCGTATTCCTCATCTTCAGAATCACAGATACCGCGAAAAGGGTTTTCTGCCCTTGCTGGCTTCGGTGCCGCCTTGGTCATCTTGGTCTTTGCTTTGGCAGGCACAGCTTCCGAGCTGTTAGCTTTTGCTTGGTGACGGGATTGCGACGCCTCTGAGCCATAGTCATTTCTGTGGATTTCCCGGCTTCGGCCTTGTCTTTGGGTCCGATGGCCAGGTTGTTTCTGAGGCGTCTCCAAAGTTTGCTTTTAGAGAATCGTTTTGACGATTGTCCCAGAATGCATGTGTATCTGGGTTTTCTGTAAGATCACCTGTAGGTAAATGGAACATGCACAGACAGCGACGTGTGTGTTAGGAGACTGACTATCTGCAGTGGTCCTAGCTACCCGGTGTTTCAATTAATAATGGGCTCGTCAAAAGATGTCTCTATGAGACCGCAAATATCTTTGGAAGATACATGCAATGGGGATTGACAATGGACAATAGGATCCATACTTGAGTTTAAGCAATGATGTGATACAGGGGTTTTATGAGCAAAACCATGCCACGTAGAGACACTCTTCCTTTGTAAAGCCAGGAGTCGGAAGATGACACTGTCCCCTTGTGGTGATAAGATGTATTTAAGCCACAGCTGTCATGTAAAAGCTATGAAGACATGCGTGTGGTAATGTAATTTGTATGATGAGCATGCACTCCCACAACATCCAAGTTCAAAGTTTGATGGCAAGTTGGTTCCGAGCCGTAGTAGTAAACCGCTGCAATTTCAGTTCGCCTAGATTATGGGGTTCATTTGCATAAGCTTAAGAGTTACATACATGTTGACTTGCAAGTTTCACAAGCAATACCATCTAAATCTGTATAATTAAATGATTGCGGGGGCAAACAGTGTAGCACCTCGGTGTGCGCACCGGCGCCCCGACGCACCGGACGCCACAGCCCGGCGCATGCGCACCGCGCACCGGCCCGCA